GCAGGCAGGCAGGCAGGCAGGCAGATTCTCCTGAACCAAATATCTAGAAGCAAGATGGCCTTCTGTGGGAGATCTGTAGTAACCAATTCCTGTTCTGTAGAGATTGTAAGAGAAGATGACTAAGTTCACATTCAGCTCTTCAGAAGTTTCATGCTATCTTTTCCCAGGTATTAACCTAATTCGAATTCTGGATGACTCCATGCTTTCCGGTCTGAAAGGGGAGGTGAACCCCACTGCTTTGGAAGCAGCTCGCCTGAGTGCTGGAAGAGCCCTTCACGTGGTTCAGAAATTCTACAGCAACACCAACTGGGTCGAAATGGAAAAGACCAGCCCTTACGAATACTTGTGTAAGTCACAACGAATATGGAAGCAAAGAACTGGCTGCTGCCTAGAGCTGACCATAAAGGGAGAGGATTTGAAAAAAGTCAAGATGACGGGAATAATCAAGTGGCCATGACTATCTTTTTGATTTATTTATTTTTATAAATACACACACAGACACACACACACTGCAAATAACCCCAGTATTGCCCTATTTGGGATAGTTTTTTTCTACTTTTCTATATAGTCAAAATTACAAAGTCCTCCCTTTGTTATTACGTCTGTATAGAAGACTGTAAAAAGATGTCAGGCTTCATATTAAGCTTTGGGGAAAAGAACACAGGTTCCCAAAATTCATAATGGTTTGTATTACCGCAGAACATTTTCTAACGTTGATCCAATGAATGTGCTCTGGATTCCCAATCTGCCATTTTGTTGATGCCTTTGGAGACCAGTTCAGATTTTCATGGCCAGCTATAAAGGGCAAAGGCTGGTCCCAAGGACATAAAAGGCACCAGGAACCCTGATGGTGTAGTGGTTAGAGTGCAGTATTGCAGGCTTACTCTGCCCACAGCCAGCAGTTCAATCCTGATGGGCTCGAGGCTGATTCAGCCTTCCATCCTTCCACGGTTGGTAAAACAAGAACCCAGATTGTTAGGGGACCATATGCTGACATTGTAAACCACCCAGAGAGTGGTGTAAAGCATTATGGGGTGGTATATAAGTGCTTTTGCTATTGGAAAAAAATACATACATATCAATTCCCCTCCCACCAAACTGCAAAAAGCTCTGGTTCTATTTTCATTTATTTATTATTGTAATATTTAGTCCATCTTTCCATTTTTTTTTTAATTAGGTCAACTTCTGGTTGAAGTATTCAATGAAAAGTTTCTGGGTTTTGATGTCTTCATACATACCTATGTTCATGACGAGGCTTCCCTGGTCACCGAGCTTGACTTATGACTGTTTTTCACACACATTCACACACATCCTTGCATGTTTGTACCTATGCATGTACACACACATGCACACAAACACACACACACTTGCTTAGGAAAACAAAGCAGGTCTTAGAAAAAGGCATAGCAAACTACTTCTATAGTCAAGGGTGGGGTTTAGCCGATTCAGAGCGGTTCGGGCGAACTGGTAGTTTCCATGTGAATCAGCTGTTTTATTTACCGGGGCTGCCGTAGAAGGTAAGTTTTGGAGCTGAAAATGGGTGACTTCCAAACACTGCGTGTGCACGCAAATCACACATTCAGTGCGTGTGTGCGCAAAGCACATGGGTGCACGCAAATCACACGCTCGCTGAACCGGTTGTTACACTGCTTGAACACCCCCCCCCCCACTGTCTATAGTGTTGCCAAAATAAATGCAGTAATATCTCTACAAAGCCAAAGGGAGTTGAGCTCATTTGGAAGGAGACTTCCAATTGGATGTTTTGGGTTTGTGTGTGCATGTGTGCGTCTGTGTGTGTGTGTGTGTGTGTACTCATGTGCATTAAAGCAGGAAGTCACTATACTCCTGCATCAGTTTTATTTCAAAGAATACATCAGGGGTCAATTGAAATTAGAAATCTATAGTGGTTAAAGTGCTAGACTGGAATGCAGGAGACCATGATTTATTTATTTTTATCCTCCCTTAGGCACAGAAGCCAGTTTGGTGGCTTTGAGCCCAACCCACCTCACATAGTTGCTGTGCTGGGGAAAATACTGTAGAACCTCTGGTCATGAAGGCTTCTGACCATGACCAAATTGGGTTCCAACCAAAAAATTCACAAAATTTTTGAATATGGTCATTAACACATAATTGGGTGGAGATCAAACATGACCCCTGACCCAGAAATTCCTAAAGACAAAACATTAGAAGATGAAGAAATTGCCAAAGTTATGGAATGAATTATGGTCATGAGCAGAGTTCTATGTAGGAGGGAGTGATGGATTTCTCCTTAGACTGTACAACGGTGGGGATATAAATTTGTACAGGGCAGAGGGAGCGACCTTGAAGGACAAAAGGAACAGCCACTACCAAGACAATAGTCAGATAAGAGGGGCTTGATCCTAGACCAAGAATGTAATGTGGGCAAACATCTCAGACAAGGTGATAAAGGGAGGGAAAGGAGAGCACATTCAGGCTTTCAAAATTTGGTTACCATAGCTTGACAGTAAAAGTAATATTGACCTTTGTAGCATTAATCCCATAGTCTGACCTGCCTTGCAAACCTGGCAAAATCTTCTAAAAATAGTAGCTTCTCCAGCTGAGTCTTGCACTTGAAAGGTGGTGTGTGTGTGTGTGTGTTCATGCACTTTTGAGCATCATCGGTAGTTATGTGAAATAAAGACCTTATTGTATTTTGCGACCTGCCTTTGGCGGCTCCAACCTTCCTTCTGTCTTATTTTTGGCCCCATTAATGTCAGCTTCCCTGGTTTGCCTTCTAATATTTGTGTGTTTTATGGCCAGTCACCTTACCGGCAGTTTGGTAAGAACCTTCCCAGTACTATTCCAATTCTGAATGTCAGATTGGAGCAACTTCAGATTTTAGAGAAGGTCAGCTACGTCTAAAGAGAATCTTTCTTCTTTTTATGTTTTCCTCAGTAAATCAAAGTAGTCCTGTCATTCCCACTGCACCAGTTTCGAAGAGGACATGTGACAACTGTAAAAGGATATCAAGGTAAATCCACAAATGGGCTCATCTAAAAAAAAAAAAAGGCTTACTTTCATGGATGAAGGCAAATAGGTGTGTCCCAGAATAATGTTGCAAGATCCAATCTGGGTTGGTTCTGTATTCTGAGCTTTCAGACTTGTGCTGGAGCCCATCTTCAGGGAACTTCTCTCTAGCAGAGTGTGTGCTGTTCTGTGTGTGTGTGGTATTTATAATACCTGTTGTACGTGACTTTTTTAGATGTTGATTGGATTGTGTTGATGGCTGGCTTTTAAATCATTAGCTATCGTTTGTTTGTGCTGCCCAGCCCTTGCCTTCTAACTCCTTGATAGGCTAGTGATAAATCAGCAGGTTGACTGACAAGGAGTCTGTTTCCCAGGCTTCAATCCCTTCACTGGTTGTTTTTGTGCCTGCTCCCCCAACAATCTGAGTTGCTGCAAAATTGAATGTCTGTCCTTGTTCACTGCAGTGTGAGGCTACCAATGAATTCAAAGGCTTATTTTATACAATGGGTTGTAAAGTTGATCTTCACCTGTAAACAAATCAAATAGAAGTAGTTCGCATTTAGCGACCACAGACAGAACTAGCAATTTAACGGTTAAACAAAGCAGTTGCTAACCAAGACAGAAACCGCACCTATGATTTTCACTTCAGCTGGAATTTGCTTTATAGACCTGCATAAATGCGAGAACTAGTTGCAAAGTTAGATTTTTATCACTTTCCTAACTGCAACTGGCTAAGCAAGTGAGTTGCTAAACAAGAATTACGGGTAGTCCTTGACTTACAACATTTGTTTAGTGACCATTCAAAGTTACAATGGTACTGATAAGAGCAAGGACCATTTTTCACATTTACATAGCATCTGAATTTTGATCCCATGACCACAGGGATTCTGCAACAATCATAAATGTGAAAAAAAAGTTCATCAGTCACTCTTATCAGTGCCATTATAACTTTAAACAGTCACTAAATGAATGGCTTCAAGTCAAGGACTACCCATATGGCTTATCTAAATTGGTCTTCATATGAATTTTTTTGTGACCGTGGAAAAGTATTACAATTAGGGAACGGGGCTTCACTTATTTTTCTCTCCAAAATTCACATTTTCACATGCAAGTTGTTGTTTTTTTAAAAAAAGGAAGGACTATGATTTGGGTGCCTGGCAACTGGCTCACAATAATGACATCGCAGCATCCTCCAGTCACCATTTGCAACCTCCCCTGCCAGCTTCCGATAAGCAAAGTCAATGGGGAAGCCAGGAGGAAGTCACAAATGATGATCGGGTGACTGGAGGCCCCTGCAACTGCATAGGATTCTTCTAAGGATGATAAGTTGTGGATGGCCACAACTGCCATCATAAGTCAGCACGGTCATGTGACATTACTCTACAACCACATTGCTTCGTGACAGAATCTCCGGCCCCAATTTCCATGGTTAAGGGAGAACTACCTGTGCACGCTTCTCTGACACATCAGTCCGAAAGATTTGCACAGTTCTAGTGCTGGGGTGTCAAACTCGATTTCACTGAGGGCCGCATCAGGGTTGTGTTTGACCTCGGGGAGGGCTGGGGGGGGGCGGGGCTGGGGGGGGCAGGGCTGGGTGGCATGACATCACTCATGTTGGGAGGCACCTGTGACGCCTGAGGGCTCTGCCAGTAAAAATGGGCTCCCGAGCTCCGTTTTCAGCTGTGATGGCCTCCTGCAACCCTCTGCCAGCAAAAACTGAGCTTGGGAGGGCCATATGAGGCCTTTGTGATCGCCGTTTTCGCTGGCAGAGGCACCCCAGGCCAGTTTCCAGGGCGGCCCTGTGGACCAGATCTAAGCACCCCGCGGGCCAGATCAGGGCCCCAGGCTTTGAGTTTAACACCCCTGTTCTAGTAATAGGCACAGAGCAACAAACCTACAAACACATCTAACACATCTAAAGTTAATGATTTCTGTTATTTTCAGCATGTTTATAAAATAGAGTTCAGGATAGATTGCTGATTTCGGTCAAATTTAAGTTCACGAATCCCACATACCAAACTCTTTGTTTAACAGGACCCTGTTCCAGTGTGAGGACAACCTCCTGGTGAAAGACATGCTTACAAGTGGATATAAAGCATCACTTTCCTGCAAGAAGAAGCTACCAGGTAAAAATCACCTGTGCCTGCTAAATACTTTCATCAGTTCTTCTTCCGTGTTCCAAACAAACAGAAGGGGACTAATCATTTCTATATACTGAGCTGGCCCTTGGATCAAGACATTAATACTTAACAATAAAAATCGGCAATGGAGTCCTTTCAAATTATTTTGAGCTAAGCTTTTAACAACAGTCTTAGCAATATGCTAACCTAAAGATCTATCTCACTGCTGCTCGATCTCAGCAACTTGAAAATGTGTGGATTTCAACTCCAGAATTCTCCACCCAGCATGCTGGTTGGGAAATTCTAGGAATTGAAGCCCACATATCTTCAAGTTGATAAGGTGTGTCTGGTAACATACTTTGCGTACACGACAGTAAAATGTAGGAGTCCCATCGCATTCATGTAGGAGGCACCGTTTAAGGAGCTCCCAGACTGAAAGGATTAGCCGGTGACGTGACCATTGCTTGAGGGACCCACCTGGGAGCTCCATTCATATTCCCGCAAGCAGCTGGAGCAAGTGACAGGAGCTCACCCCGACATGCAGCCTCTCTCAGGTTTCGAACATCGAACATTGCTAACCTCCAATCCAGCGTTCTAACCACATGAGCTAACATAGTAAGCGTTATCAGAGACTGTACATTGGCCTTTGATATGCCAAGGTATTTGTGCCTTTTCTTTCTTTTTTCTGTATTATAGGCAAATGTGGACATGGAGGGAAATATGATGTGACTCAAACGTTCCCTATCACGGGTGGCATCAATAAGGAGACGTCTAATCCCGAACTTTCGCCACACTATCGCCTGCATCAGAGAGCAGCAGAATTAGCCATCGAAGCAACCAAGAGCTTTTTTGTGGGAGATGGTAAGGCTGTGTCCTAGGTTTATTTCTTTTTATTTAGTTATTTATCACATTTGTAAAGCCCCCCCCCCCCCATCCCTATTTGAATGACCTGCTAGAAAATGTCTCCTATCCCTGTTCTGCCCAAGATAAAAAGGCTTGGCATGCTTCTTAGAATAACCTGGTTAATCCTCAACTTGGTGCCAATTACACGTGTCGGATAGCCCTTCTCTGGATATTCAATCGATGTGTAAAAATGCAGGCAGTCCTCGACTTACAACAGTTCATTTAGCGACCATTCAAAGTTACAACAGCACCGTAAAAAGTGACCTACGACCATTTATCACACTTATGGCCATCGCAGCATTCCCATCATTATGTGATCAAAATTGAGACGCTTGGCAACTGGCTCATATTTATGACAGGTTCCAATGTCTCGGGGTCATCACCTTGAATCAATGGGGAAGCCAAATTCACTTAGCAACCATCTTACTCACTTAACAACTGTAGTGATTCACTTGACAACTGTACAATGGGGCAGAACTCACTTAACAAATATCTCGCTTAGCAACAGAAATGTTGGGCTCACTTGTGGTAGTAAGTCGAGGACTACCTATAATATCTGTGCATTTATTGCAGTTAAGGCTTTTCCTTCGCAAATCAAGCAATATAAACTGTTGCCGCCCATGGCAATTTGAAACAGAATATAGTGTAATACCAACATAATGTCAACCCTGAAGTCAACCCTGGCCAAAGCCATATTGAAGCTTCAGTGCTGCCACACTAGAGCTGAAGGTTAGGAAGGAGGGATTTGAGATAGCTGGGGTTGTGTAGTCAAAATAAAAAAATACTTTTTCTTGGGAAACAAGGATGTTCTCAAACCTGGCCAGAGAAAGGAGGAGTGATGTCACCAGGCCAGCGGAGGCTGCCTTGATTGGGCCATATGTTTGGAATTGGGGAGGAGGACTTTCTCTTTTAATTAGGGGAAAACCGATGGACCCTTCAGAGTCGGTTTTCACCAGATATGTGCCAATTTGATATTTCCAATAAAGTTGTCCTTTGAGGAATCTACCTGCCTTGGAGTTTTTGCTTGCAATGGATCTGTTCCTTGGAACCCTGACATTAAACCGACTCTGACACATAACTTGGTCCTGCTGTAGGACATCCACTTGTCGGAAATGGTATAGGGTCACCTGTTTGAGCAGGAGATTGGACAAGAGCAGGGATTCCCCAACAGTGGTGGTATGCTACCTGTGCTATCCTGACAGTATATAGGTAATTGGGAATTGAGATAGTTAAGTCAGAATTGGGAGCTGTCCCCTTAAGGGAATGCCTCATAGTAAATGTAGTTAATGCATCTTGGGAAATGTAGTTCATGTCATGTGGTCATATCTGTAAATCCTGATTGGTCACTGAATTGACCCTTGGTTGGGTTAGGGGGTTTCTTTTACTCCTGCTTGGACCCCAACAGTGTGCTGGTGTCTCACCCTGTGCTCCATCATTAAGGGATGAAAGATCACCATGCTTTTACACTATGAAGTCATCTGTGCAAAGAGTTGGACATTAGATGAATCTCAACATAGCTGTGAGTTATACCTTGAGAATGCCTTGTGAGCCAATAAAGAAACTTTGTATGGAAACCTTTGTAAAGTTGACTGTCTGTCTTTATATTCACCCAGGAATTTAAAAGACAGAACGCTACCGGTTTCAGACTGGTTTGGCTGAACCGGTAGTAAAAAAAAATCCTCAACCATCAGCTGATAGGAAAAAGAAGAGAAAAGCACAGGATTGGCTCTTCCACCCTCCCCTGCGCTTTTCTCTTCAGCTGATTGGCGCTGCAGGTCTCATCTGGTGTGGGGAAAGCTGCACGCCAGCGTTAGGCAAAGCACGCCCATCAAGCCACGCCCACCAAGCCACACCCACCAAACCGTCGGTAAAACAATTTGAATCCCACCACTGGTCCCCAACCCTGGGCCACAGCCTATCTCCATAGAGGTGGCGGGCAAGCACATGTGCGTATCCTCTCATGGAACCATCCCCTCTCCTTTCCCCTCCCCACACCGCCAATCATCAAAGCCAAAAAGGACCAGAAGACTTCCAAGGTTCCTTCCAACTCTGTGATTCTTTTCTTTTTCCAAAAAGTTTTTTATTTTTTTTAAATTTTATACATCTTTCCACATGAGCAATATGTTTCCAGGTTATAACACTTGTACGTAGTCATACTTTCATTTCCATTAATCTTATATAATATTAACTCATATCATTATCCACTTCAGTCATCTTTAAATAAGTTTACACTTCATATTTCAGTTCATTAATTCAATATCAATATCATTTCATCCATACATAAGTTTTCCCTATTGTTTCCATTTTCAGCTTACCGCCTATTTTATTTTACATGACACGTCATTATTATCCTTAGTTTTCTCTGTGATTCTGTTCTGTTCTTTTATTTGTTTCAGGTTTCGGCCTCTTAAGTAAAGTGGGAGACATTACTTTTAAGAAGTTTTTCAACCTGGATGGTTATTCCCTCACCTTTGTGGTGGACACTACCGGCAGCATGTCAGATGATATCAGTCAAGTCAAAACCAAATGCATCGAACTCCTTCGTACTTATTCTGGCTCACCGGATGCACCTTTTAATTACATTCTTGTGCCATTTAATGACCCTGGTAAGGAGGTGGTAGAAGACTGTGAGACTGTGATTCCTTCTGATTTATTATCCCTTTTAGGCTGGAATTGCCTTCCTTCTTTTGCTCAGTATTTCCCCCCCCCCCTCAAGAATCCAAGCCGGGGTGGGGGGGATACGACAGGGTTAACTACCGGTTTGGGATTTACGAAGTTCAGTAATTTATGATGTGCTTCCCTGCATGCTGCGAGCCGCACGCCTGTAAATCATCATCAGCATGCTGCGTGCAGAGAAGCAGCCTTTGAAACAGCCCTCTTTTCCTGCTTTTTTAACTGCAGCTGTGCCTCGTTTGGCACCTGAAGTTGAAAAATCAGGAAATAAAGGACAGGTAAGAGCCGGGGTGGGCGAACGGGCAAAAACATCAGCAGACATGGAACCGGTTCTATATCTGCAACTCTTCAGAGCTACCAGTTCTACAGAGGTAGACAGAACCAGTAGAAACCTACCCCTGATCCAAGCAATGTGATGGCCAACTAGAAGGGATTATGTGATTTAACAATAGGGAATGCAGCTTCTTCTTTTTTGTTTATAAAAACAGGAGCAATTACATCTCTACTGGGCTGACCAGTGTTAAAATGACAGATCATCCTTCAGTGGAAAGTGAACCAAGCAGGGGTGGGATTCTGCAGGTTTGGACTGGTTTGGATGAACTGGATGTTAAGTTTTCATCTGGTTCGCCGAACCAGTATTTCAGGAGACCAGCTGCCCCGCCCACCCCATCCTGCCCCTCCCAGGAGTCTCCACACAGCCCATTTTTAATGTAGGTAAATGCAGGGTCCACGGGGATCTTCCGGAAGTCTGGAAATGGCCCTGTTTCTGGCTTCCAGTGGGCTTCCAGAGCCCGGGGGAGGCCACTTTTGCCCTCTCAGAGTCCCAGGAGAAGCCTTCAAACCCTTGGGGAGGCAAAAAATGGCCCTCCCAGAAGTTCCAATAGGTCACACCCACCATGGCCATTCCCACCCAGCAACTGGGCAGCGAACTGGTTGCTGGAAGTTTTGAATCCCACCCATGGAACCAAAGAGTTCACAAAACTCTCCCGATGTCTCATTATTTGTTACCACTTAATGCAGAGGAAGGAGAGAAATGAGGGAAATAATCAGGAGGAGGATTAAAAACTTGAATTCTTCCCTTAAATGGGGAAGTTAGTAGTTGGTCTTTTTGAGAATGTTTGCATTTGAAACCGAAGGAGAAAGAGCATAGCAGATCTTCAATTAAGGTCATGAGGTTTATAAATCAATAGTAAAAATGCATGATTGTATTGGTTTTCAGAATATAAAATAGTAGTTTCCCACTACTCTTTTACTTTGCTTTGTACTTTATATTTTGAAAAACTAATAAAAATCAGATAGATAGATAGATAGATAGATAGATAGATAGATAGATAGATAGAATAGATATAGATAGATGAATAGAATAGAATAGAATAGAATAGAATAGAATAGAATAGAATAGAATAGAATAGAATAGAATAGAATAGAATAGAATAGAATAGAGATGATGATAGATAGGTTGATAGATATAGAGATAGATAGATAAATAGATAGATAGATAGATAGATAGATAGATAGATAGATAGATAGATAGAGATGATGATGATAGATAGATAGATAGATAGATAGATAGATAGATAGATAGATAGATAGATAGATAGATGGATGGATGGATGGATGGATGGATGGATGGATGGATAGATAGATAGATAGATAGATAGATAGATAGATAGATAGATAGATAGATAGATAGATAGATAGATAGATAGATTAGATGATGATGATAGATAGAGAACTCTGTCTGAAACTGTGGACCTTGGCTGGCCTTCTTCATCCTATCAAGGCTCAGTTCCCACCTTGATCTGTCTTTGCAGAGGTTGGACCCATCATTAAGACCCAAAGTGTGGACGAATTGGAATCAGCAATCTCTCGCCTGACTGCTACAGGGGGTGGCGATTGCCCAGAAATGTCCATGACTGGCTTGAAACTGGCTTTGCAACAGAGCATGCCAAGGTGAGAAGCGTCCAAGTTGAGGCCTCTAGTCTCTTTCTGCCCATATCTCTCAATACTGTACAGATAGTCCTTGAATCCCAGGTAATCCTGTATCATATACACAGTGTATATTCCACTCTGTTAAGGACTTACTGTTCTGGTCTGGCAGAGGCCAAATTTGCACCAATTCGATGGTGATCAGAGGTGGTATTCAGCCACTTCTGATAGGTTCTTGAGAATCGGTAGTGGAAATTTTGAGTAGTTCGGAGAACTGGTAAATACCACCTCTGGTTGGCCCCGCCCCCATCTATTTGCTGCCTCCCAAGTCCCAGCTGATTGGAGTCCTGGCTGAGTCTTCTTTTGTTGCCCTGCACAGGAGAACGGAGCTGGAAAGCAGGTTAGTGGGGTCGTGAGGGAATGGAGATTTTGCAGTATCCTTCTCCTGCCATGCCCACTAAGCCACGCCCCACCCACCAAGCCACACCCACAGAACTGATAGTAAAAAAATTTGAATGCCACCACTGGTGGTGATGGAATCCCCACTGATCCGTACGAAGGGGAAGTTGCCTGCAGAAAGGGCCTCCATTTTCAGTAAGTTTCTCGGGAAGGAAAAGAGGAAGAAATTACAATTAAAAATCTTCCACATTGTTCCTGTCCATGTTTATGAATTAAATGAGAGACATATTACAGGTAATCCTCAAGTTACAACAGTTCATTTAGTGCAGTGGTTGCCCACTGGTGGGCCGCAAGAAAAGTTTGGTGGTCCGCAGAGAAATGTCACCCCCCAAAACACCCCCCCCAAAGCAATTAACCCAGGCTACACGGGAACACAAGGCTGTGCCGCCCACATGGCCCGCGGGAACACAAGGCTTGCATCACTTGCATTGTGAACAACATGAGGTAGTGAGGGGAAGGGCGGAGGGGGGGAACTTGCCCCACTCGCCCCACGTGCCTTGCCTGGCCACCAGGCTGCTTCTTTCCGCTTCTTTCTTCTTTTGGCTGCGCGCAAGGAAAGCAGCAAAAGTCTTTCTTTCTCTCCCCCAAAACTCCACCAGAAATGAGTCTTTGGGACCCTGCAAGGCATCCTGTTCCAAGAGGCTGTGCCGGCGCAATAAGTCTCACAAAGACTCATTTCTGGCAGAGTTTGAGAAAGGACTTCTGCTGCTTCTGCTGCTTTCCTTGTATGAAGCCAAAAGTCTCTCTCTTTCCTCCTGAGAACGGAGCAGGAGACAGTATCCTGCAATCCCAAATAAAGAATGATCTATCGGTAGAAAAACGGGGTGGGGAATTTTCCTGCAGACTTTTTTAGGGGATTTTCCCAGGGTCTCTGGTCCGCGGGATTTAAAATTATGAGTTTGGTGGTCCCTGAGGTCCAAAAGGCTGCCGACCCCTGATTTAGTGACCGTTCAAAGTTACAGCAGCACTGAAAAAAGTGACTTAAGTTAGGACCATGTGTCACCATTACTAACTTTTGCAGCATCCCCACGATCATGTGATCAAAACTCAGATGCTTGGAAATTGGCTCACATTTATGATGTTCGCAACCTCCCTGGGTCACGTGATCCCCTTTTACGACCTTCTGACAAGCAAAGTCAATGGGGGAAGCCAGATTCACTTATAAACCAGGTTAATAACCTATCAGCTGCAGTGATTCACTTACCAACTGCAGCAAGAAAGGTTGTAAACTGGGGCAAAACTCACAACAAGTGTCTTAATTAGCAGCAGCAATTTAGGGCTCAATTGTGGTTGTAAGTAGTGGTCTACCTGTAACATCTGTCTCAAGCATCTGCAAGGTTACCAAAGTGGGCATTTATGCAGTTATGGCTTTTGCTTCAGTGATTGTTCAAAGGGACAACAAGCACCGAAAAAAAAGTGGCTTATGACCATTTTTCTGTTTTATCAAGTCTTATCTGAGTTCTGGTATCCTCCCAAGTGTGTGTATTTCATTATCTTTTGACGTCTTCAATCCCTTATCCTGCCCTGTCTTGTCAATTGCTGCAGTTTGGTTTGTGTTGATTTTTCTTTATAATTTATATGTACTTTGAGTTTGGAAGGAATTTCTTTCTTTTAAAAACTGTTCTTCGGAGAGTTTATTCTCCAGCCGATGATAACTGGACATGGGAGGCCAAGTTGAAGGAATTAAAGGGACTTTACCTATTTTTGTGACTTTGTTGCTTTTGTGCCACACCCCAGGTCATCACAGCCAGGTTCATAACATAACAAGGGCTCTATAAGTAAGAACCACACCCTTGAATTCAATCTGGGAACTAACTGGCATCCAGCGCAGTTCACACCGCAGCACAACCATCGCATGCATTTCACTTTTCTGCACCAACTGCAGCTTTCAAGTTGTCTTGAAAGGGAGGTAGAGCGCATTGCATTAACCCAGGCCCTGCATTCTAAGGTGTGAGTAATCATCTGGAGGGCCTAGGCAATTTACCATACGGTCTCCCAAAAGCTTCTCGGCCTATGAATCAACTGTCACACCCTTAAACAACTTGTTTCCTGAAATCATTTGTCTCATTGTTTCCTCTTCTGCCGCTTTATAAATGGGATGTCTTCGCAGATTTAATGAAAGAAGCGAATCGTTTCTCACAGGAGGTTAACGGAGTAGAACCGGCCTTCATGTTCTCTCTTGAGCTTTAGCATTTGAACGCTTAATCTTTCTGACTCTAGGAAGGAGTAAAGGCAGTCTTTATGGCCTGAAACCATCATTGACCTTATCCCCACTCAAATTTGTCAGATCCCACACAAAAACCTTCTGAATTGTCAGCCTTCTCGCTCTGAAGTGTTTAGTGGGCTGATGAAGTGCTTTTCTTTTGTCTAGCCAACATTTCCCACCGTAGCCTCCGGGTCCAACTTTAGATAGGTGGGGTCAGAGAAAAAGGACTTGAAAAAAAAAAAAAGACCGGGAGACTTGCATGGTCTTTTAATGTTGAAAGAAGAAAAGGTTAAATTAAGAATGCGTTAGATTTGAAGATTTAAAAGGGTCAAAGAAGAAAGGGAAAAGAATAAGATGACAATTGCTTGATATAAAGATGGGTGTGTTGGAAGAAATATCCATCCGGTTCAGTTCCAAGCCTTTCCAAGAAAGACCCTGGAAACATGGAGGCTGATGGGAAAGGTGGTTTTATGATAAAGCAGAACCGCCAAGCGCATGGTTCTGGTGCAGCTGACCACATGGAGTTGCGAGTGAGGGCTATTTATATCTTCTCTTGGGCTTTGCACTTGAACTTCCTGTTCCTGTGCAAGAGCATGTATTCTGTTGGCCGTTGTTAGGCTCCCTTGGGGCCATGTACAAATCCTAGGAATTTGTCTGAGCTAAGTTTGGTTGAAGTTTGCTGGGGGTGGTGCAATGAAGGGACATTGGGTAATTCCTGTTGTGGCTGAGGGCAAATCTTAACTCTGTTGGATCTTGAGCGAGGGTGTTTGCTTATGAATAGACCTAGCTAATCTCTTTCTCTCTTTAAGTGCTGACATCTGCTGAGGGCTATTAAGAAAAGTCGGGGCTGCTTTCCAAGAGCATGTTTCTCCATTTTTCCCTTTAGGGAAATATAATTTTCTGCCTTTTTAATATTTCCTAAAATATTTCATTCTTCTAAGAGAGGGATGGGTGCTAACTTTTTACAGGGGGGAAATCATAATTCCATCTTTTCTTTCTTCTTTCCTTCCTTCCTTCCCTCTTTTCTTTTTTCTTTTATTCTTATTTCCGATATTATTTTTTTCTTGTTCTTTTAATTTTGTATGCTTTTATAGCAGGGGTTCCACAATTCCAGTGTTGTGGACCAGTATCGGTCCGTGGCCTATTAGGGACTGGGCCGTGCAAGCTGCAGGTGAGCGAAGAAACTTCATTTGCACATGCACAAAATTCCGCCCCCCCGTCTGTGGAAAAATTGTCTTCCACAAAACTGGTCCGTGGTGCTAGAAGGGTTGGGGACCACAGGTTTTATAGGACTGCAAAACTGTCATAAAAATATTTTTCAAAAAAGTGTAAACAGATAGAGCTTTAAGGCAGAAGTCTGCTTCCCTTTTTTTAAAATTTCTAAAGTATCAAGTATACAGTATAATCCAGGAATGAGCCCTGGTGGCACAGTAGTTAAAATACAACACTGCAGGCTATTTCCGCTGACAGCCAGGTGCCAGCAGTTTGGCAGATCGAATCCCACCAGGCTCAAGGTTGACTCAGCCTTCCATCCTTTCAAGGTCAGTAAAATGAAGACCAGGACTGTTGGGGGCAATGGGCTGACTCTGTAAGAGAGGGCTGTAAAAGCACTGTGAAGCGGTATATAAGTCTAAGTGCTATTGCTATTGCTAATGTAGGCACAAGCATCTGTAGTGGGTGTCAGAGGAAGCAAGTGATAAATCTTATTTTTATTTATTTGTTTACTCTCTTTATACAGCCAACCATCTCACATACATGATTCTGGGTGGCTCACAGAGATAAAAGAAATCACAAAGAAAATCCATATAAATAAACAACCCAAAACAACAATAGAAAAAACATTCAAAACAAGTTAAAACTATTAAAACAGCCATAAAGCAGGGAAGAGGACCAACCAATAGTTTACAAACAATACAACCATCTCACAGGCACCATACAGGTGGCCCTCGACTTACAACCATCCATTTAGTGGCAGTTCAAAGTTACAACATCAAAAAAGGTGACATGACCTGTTCCACACTTACAACCATTGCAGCATCCCCATGGTGCCATGATCAAAATTCAGCTACTTGGCAAACTAGCATGTATGTATGTGTCATGTAATCACCATTTGTAACCTTCCCAGCCAGCCTCCAACAAACAGTCACTGGAGAAGCCGGATTCGCTTAACGATCCTGTGATTCTCTTAACAACTGCAGTGATTCGCTTAACAACTATGACCAAAAAAAGGCCGTAAAATGGGGCAAAACTCACTTAACTGCTTTGGGTTCAACTACTTCCACAGAATCGCGTGAGCCATAATGTTACAATGCAAAGTCTGTGACCAACATTATTAAGCTAACATCAGAGCTAACCATCAGGCTCAATAGCAGTAACTGTGACAGGGATCTTGGAGTCTTAGCAGACAACCAGCTAAATAGGAGCCAGCAGTGTGCAGCAGCCGCCAAAAAAGCTAATGCAATCCTAAACTGCATTACCAGAGATATACAATCGAGATCAAGTGAGGTACTAATACTACTTAATAAAGCCTTAGTAAGACCACACATAGAGTACTGCATCCAATTTTCTTCATCACACTATGAAAAAGATGCTGAGACTCTAGAAAAAGTGCAGAGAAGAGCAACCAGGATGATTAGGGGACTGGAGACTAAGGCATACAAAGAACAGTTACAGGAACTGGGCTTGGCTAGTCTAGTGAAGAGAAGGACCAGGGGAGACATGATAGAGGTTTCCAATATTTGAGGGGCTGCCACAGAGAGGAAGGGGTCAAGCTGTTTTCCAAAGCACCCAAAGGCCAGACAAGGAAAAATGGATGGAAATTGAACAAGGAGAGATTTAACCTGGAAATAAGGAGAAACTTTCTGACAGTGAAAACAATCAACCAATGGAACAGAAGTTACCCTCGGAAGTTGTGGGAGCGCCATCACTTGAGACTTTCAAGAAGAGATTGGACTCCCATCTGTCAGAAATGGTGTAGGGTCTCCCGCTTGGGCAGGGGGTTGGACTAGATGACCTAAGGGGTCCCTTCCAACTCTGATTATCTGTTATCTATTAAAGAGTGAACGGATAGCAGTATAGAACAGGGGTCTCCAACCTTGGCCACTTTAAGACTTGTGGACTTCAACTCCCAATTCTGGGAGTTGGTCCACAAGTCTTAAAGTAGCCAAGGTTGGAGACCCCTGGTGTAGAAGATGGCAAATCAAAACATCCCTATTTACATATTATCATTTTTCATCTTTGCAGTTAGCTCCCAGAGCTTTTGAATTGCCTGATTCTGAGACATTATGGATACTTTTTTTAACGCCAAACAATTGAGCCTTATTATAGTTGTGTAGGTCAGGAAACAGATCTTCATGGTCATTAAGCAAAGACACAGTCACTGAGTGAATGCCGCAGTTGTTAAGCAAACCCATTGCCTGCAATAGGCGGGATTTGCCAAAGAAACCAGAAATAAATGCCGATTTCCATCAAAACAAAGAACAAAAAACCCTATAAATTGTGTTATGTGACAGTGGGACACTGCAAACAATCGTAAATCATATGAGCCGGTTGCCGATCACCCAAAATAAGATCATGTGACCACAGGAGGGCCTGGCCCTCAGAACTTTGAATGTGGGTCCTCGGTACATTTTGAGGGTCTGTCATAACTACAAATGGTTGCTAAACGGTTGTAAGTCAAAGACTATCTATAGTTCACCTATCTGAGGCCTCTCCAGGGCTCCTGGCTGAATTCTTCCAGTACCTTTCCTAGACCAGGTGTCTCCAACCTTAGCAACTTGAGGACTTGTGGGCTTCAACTCCCAGAATTCCCCAGCCAGCATGGGATTCTGGGAATTGAAGTCCACAAGTCTTAAAGTTGCCAAGTTTGGGGACCCCCCTCCTAGACAACCTTTGTTTATAAAAGCGATTCAGCCAATCCATATTCATCTCCCTTTTTCCGTCAATTTCACCCACTGTTCCTCAACCTGGATGCTCTTCAGATAGAAGGATTTCCATTTCCAAACTACTTTTTGGACTGGTTTAGAAAATTCTATAAGTTAAAAAGTCCACAGTTCTAAACGGGAACAACTGAGAGAAAGCAACTTTTTTGGCAATCTTACATTCACGCTACTTTTCCCCTAGCACAAACTTCTTAAAATCCTTTGTGTCCCTCCAGATCCAAGATTTTTGTCTTCACTGATGCGGGAGCCAAAGACGAGTCCCTGAAGGGAGAAGTGCAAATTCTGATTGATTCTTCTAAGTCCATAGTGAATTATCTCCTCACAGGCTATTGTGCCAGCAGGAAACGCAGAAGTAAGTCAATCCCCGTGAAGAAAATATTCTGATGTTTTCTCAGGCAGAAAGAATAGAAAATTGCTTGGTATTAAGTCTTGCAAATAATCCCATAAATGTTACAAACCTGCAC